TCACAGAAGGGAACTGCACCCACCTTGGCAAAGGCATCCCTGCCATAGGTGGCCTCCTGCTCCGTGTGCTGTTTGTCGATGACGTCCCTGCCCGTGGCCACCGTGCGGAACAGCAGCGCCTTCTCCACCAGTTCGGCCTTGGTGGACAGGAGCTCAGCAATCACTGACACCAGCTTGCTGTTCTCGATGATGGGGGTGTCTCCATCCACGTAGAACTTCAGGTTTCCCTGCAAACAGCAGCATTTCTCCATCTGCCCTTTACTAACAGGGATCAGCACACCCCAACTCCATCCGTATTCCACCTGCTGGTCCAGGCTGGAAATCTCCTGCCAAGCTGGAAGGTGGCTCCTGCACATCCACACCCTCAAACCTCCAATGTCAGAGGGAGCAGCAAGGGCTTTCTCAAAGGTTCAGCTCAGTGTTCAGCTCAGCTTTTGGGACAAACAGCATCAAACATCATCCCAAGATTCAGAGTCCGGGGATAGGGAATGACACCATACATGCAAATGCTGGATGTAGCATTTGTCTTCACTGCAGCTCACCATGAAACCACTGGCTGTAATTCCCCTGCCAAATGGTGTGGGGAAGCTGAGAGCTCAATGCCAGTGGGACTGGACAAAAGCTCAGCTTTTGGGACAAACAACATCAAGCACTTCCTGAGATTTAATCAAACACCATCCCAAGATTCAGAGTCCAGGGATAGGGAATTGCACCATGTAGCATTTGTCTTCACTGAGCTCACCATGAAACCACTGGCTGCAATTCCCCTGCCACAGAGGGAGTGGGAATGGTGTGGGGAAGCTGAGAGCTCAGTGCCAGTGGGACTGGACTGGCAGCTCTGCTCCTGGGTGCCTTCTGTGCCAGGATTAAGCAGTGACACCCCTTGGACTGTCTCCCAGCCTCCCTGCATGGCTCCACTCTGCTCTGCCTCCATTCCTTTCCCAGGAGGAAAGGAACTGGAATAAAGTTGCTCTTTGCCACCCTCCTCCTGCCCACCTCTTTCCTCAGGAAACACGAGAGCTGAGCTGCAGGAACTCCCTGCTGCTGTGCAGGAGAGGCTCTGTGGCTCCCAGAAGGGTCCATGAGAAGGAAGGATCTCCTCAGTCTCAGAACACAAAGAGTTAAAGTCTCCTGTGTTTCCTGTGCTCAGCCTTCACCATGAAGTGAAGCAGGGGATGAAGGTGAGTGTGAAGGCACAAAGGGACAGAAGCTCCCCATCCCCTCACTGCCAAACCCCAACAGTTCCTTTTTCAGACCACACAACAGCTCCCAGCACTTAGTGGTATGCCTGGTTTGGGATCTGGAACATGCAGGAGCACATGTGATCATCACTGCAGTGCCCTGTTCCAGCATGGACTTTGTGTCACCACTGGAGCTGGGAGCTGGACACCTTCCCAGCCTCCAAGGGCTTCTGCAGCAGGAAAATCAGAGCTGCTCAAGCCCTCATGGGCCCAGGGATGGATCCCCATGGGCAGGGAGCTTACCAGGTGCAGAATGGCTGCCACGATTTTGTAGACAGTTTGGATCTCCTCCTGCTTGAAGCCAATCACCTTCATGGCATCAGCAACTGCCTTGAACTCAGCCCCATCATTAATGGAACACTGAGGGGAGAGAGAAGTTTGGGATGGGGGTTTTAATGGAAGTCAGCTGAGGGAGCAAGGATTTCACAAACCCATGGGAAACAAGATGCACTTTGATGTTTCTCAGAGGCAAGGCACTGTCATGAGGTTTCCCAGCTTATTCCAGTGCCATCTGTGTGCTTGGACACTGAATCCTGCATTGCACACACAGATTCTGGCAGCAGGAGACACAGAAATCCACCACAGCACAATAAATTTACCACTGGAATTTGCTGAGAAAGAGTTCATAAAAAATCCCAGAAGAACAGGGACAATTTGTGCACTCACAGACTCTCTGAGAGGCTGCAGAGCATGAGCAGGAAATCTCTGTTTTCCACCTCTCTCAAGATTAGCATACACAGTTTTAAAGAGAATCATCTGGCATGGGAGAAGGTCTCTGGGTTTCTGTACCAAAGTGCATCTCACAAAAGCACCTAGGAAATCAGGTCTGGGCCCTGTTTCAAAGGCACAACACCAGGGACAGCTCTAGCTGTGTCTGAAGTGTTCAGGATCTTGCTGTCTAAACACTTTATGGGTTTGTTCCCTTCTTTCCTGCTCAGAGTTCCCCCTTGAGGACAAGTCAGACATGAAGACTCAGTGCTTCAGTAACTCCAAGATCTGCTGTAAAAAAATGAGTCCTTCTGGCTTTTTGTTCCACAAGTTTAAGGTACCCATTATGGAGCAGGGGATGTCTGCCCCTGCTAATGGGCCAAACATCCACACCTGCATTTATTAATAAATCATTTTATTGCTGTTTATAAGCAGATGCAGCATGCACAGGTATATATGTATGTTTAAGCAGAATAGAGTTAAATAAATATTTTCTATGATTCTAAGCACACTTGTGCTTTATCTTGTACCAGAAACCTCATTACAAACAGCACACCAGTGTCACCTTTCCCTACTCATCCCCTCTGATCTCAGCTTCTGCTAGCTCAGCAGTGCTTTGAGCATTTCCAGCAGCACTTCCAGTGTGAAGCTGTGCCTGGGTCCCTCAGAGCCCTCACCTTGAGCTGTGCCCCAGGGCAGATGTAGCTGTAGGCTGATGCATCCTTCTGGAGGTGCAGAGAACGCAGGAGCTGCTCAGAACCTCCCTGCAGGAGCTGCAGGAACAGAGTTTTAAGAAATGGTGAATGGGAAATATAAAATTCTTCTCTTTTCTGACTCTTATTCATCTGCTTGACAAGCAAAATAATGAAAATATTAATTACTGCTGCAGTATCTGGAGCACAATGTGCAAGGTGCTCTGCCACCACAAATCACTGTCCTTTAGAGTCACAACTGTATAAAAACCAGCCTGAACCCCTCCCAGACCTGTTCACTGCTGTGCTTTGGCAAGCACATTGCCACACAGAGACTTTTCCTCCTGGAAATGACACATCCATGAGGAAAGTGCTAATATGCCATCATGGAGCACTGAAAAAGTGGAAAAAATAAACAAACCTCCCCTTCCTTCAGTGCAGAATCAAGGTTATACTAATAGGCTGACCATATCCCCCAAAGGACACACAGGGAACCAACACTCAATGTGGAAGACATTAAAGAACATCCAAAAAACCAAATTACTTCCATATGGACTAAAGGCTTCAAGACAAAATAGAGGGATTAGGCTTACTACACATAAACCAGTGAGTCAAAGTCCAATATCCTCCCATATTTGTTTAGTCAGCCTCCTTTTAAGTTTAGCAATGTGTTAATATGGGACTGGAGGATAGAAAACAATCCATCTTCCCAGGCCCCTGCAGAGAACTGAAGAACCCAAGATCACCCAAGATGCTGCAAAAGGGAACCCTGAGCACAACACATGAGAGGGTGAAAGCCCTGAGTGCTCTGCCCAAGAGGACAAATGCTCCAACAAAGGAACACAAACCTGTGACAGTGGTTTTTCAGGTGAGGGAAGAGACGAGAATGTTGACTCCATATTCAGAAGGCTTGATTTATTATTTTATGATATATATTACATTAAAACTATACTAAAAGAATAGAAGAAAAGGTTTCATTTCTGAAGAAGGCTGGCTAAGCTAAGAATAGAAAAGAAAAGAATGATAACAAAGGCAGCTGCCTCAGACTCTCTGTCTGAGCCAGCTGACTGTGATTGGCCATTAATTAGAAACAACCACATGAGACCAATCCCAGATGCACCTGTTGCATTCCACAGCAGCAGATAATAATTGTTTGCATTTGTTCCTGAGGCCTCTCAGCTTCTCAGGAGGCAAAAATCCTAAGGAAAGGATTTTTCATGAAAAGATGTCTGTGACACAAACCTGGTAGAAGGAGTGGAAGCTTCGCTCCCCCGGCTGCTGCACGATCACACGGGACTGGGGGAACAAAGGACAGAGCTGGGTGTTAGTGTCCCCTCAGAGCACCAGGACACCCCAAATCCACCCCATCTCACACTCAGCCTCTTGGGAACACCATCTCACACGTGTGACCCTGGAGCTTGAGGTCTGCAGGCAAAAGCAGCAGTTGTGTAACAGCTGCAATGTCCCACTTCCACCCAGGAGTCCCATGTGGGAACCACAGGGTTGCTTTCATGGAAGAGTCAAATAAAAACCATCATTTTAGTTTTAGAATGATTTAATCACTGGAAATGAAAACCAGGACTCTGTGACTACAGATAAATGCAAAAGGCCTGGTGGTCACCACTCCTACACCCCCAGGACAGCACCCACAGTACCAGGGGATGCTCTGCTCTGACACAAGGGCCTTGTTTTAGGAGCTGTAGCTCCATTCCAGAATCCTCATTCCAGAGGTAAAACAGCACAAAAAAGGGATAAATACAGCAGACAGCCCAGAGTAAAACAGCACAAAAAAAGGGTTAAATGCAGCAGACATTCAGTCAACCAGCAATGTGCCCTTATTTCATGCTACAAGTCTGAACTATGAAGAGTGATGGGGAACAGAGCTGTATTGGGGACGTTTAGGTTGGAGATCAGGGAAAGGTTCTTCCCCCAGAGGTGCTGGCACTGCCCAGGCTCCCCAGGGAATGGTGCCAGAGTTCCAGGAGGGTTTGGGCACCGCTCCCAAGGATGCCCAGGGTTTGTTGGGGTGTCTGGGCAGGGCCGGGGGTTGGACTGGATGATCCTGGCAGGTCCCTTCCAACCCAGGATATTCCATGATTTGATGTGTTCCTGCTGCAAAGCCACTGTCTGTCACAGCTTGCATTTGGGCCAGAGCCTCCACTGCTTTCAGATGGAAACAAATTTAACTTGGGAGAAGTCAAGGATATGAAATAAACAATCAGGATAAATAAATCATCAGGATTTAAGTCACTGCAGCTGTAGTCCCAGCCCTCTTCTTACATCAAAGCAACCCAAGTTAAATGTTTGGGTTTGTTGTTTTGTTTTTTAAAATAAAGTGTTTACTCTGAAAATAGACTTCAGGGAAATAAGGGGAGAAGCAAAAAAGAAACACAAACAAAAAAGGGTGTTGGCAGATGTGGTCAAACACATAATCAAAGCCAGACGTGTCTCACACAGCAAGAACTGTTAATGGCTCAGCCTGAGCTCTCCAGTTTTGCATATTCCAATGTTTTCAGCCACCACTTAATGACATGAGAAAAATAATTATGCTCATGATCACTTGGAATATATAAAAACAACACTACAAACAGCTCACCCAAGGCTGTGGCATTATTCCACAGTAACACTTTTCAAGCACACTTGCTCCCTACAGCCCTGGAAATCTCCTTCTCCAGGGAGAGCTCAGTGCAAGAATTACAAAGCAGGAGCTGTGCAGAGAGTAAATTTTATCCAAAATAAAAACTGAGATGAAACTTCACACACAAAATCCTTCGGGTAACACAGCCCTGTTGCTGGTGAGCTCTGGAAGTCCAGGAACAGGGTACTGCCAGCACTGAGGAAAACTTCAGCTCTGGATTTATTTTCTGTGCCCTCATTCCTCACCTGCTGCACACATCTGAACAGAAAACTTCCTACTGACAAAGCCCAGATTGCAAAAGCAACCCCAGCAAAGGCTGCAAGCCTGGAAAGGAGGGTGCCTTACCTTTTCCAGCAGGTAATTATTGATGTGCCCCCCTATGGGGTCTCCCTTGAAGTCGAAGTTGATGTCCATGTACTTCCCAAAGCGGCTGGAGTTGTCGTTGCGGTTTGTCTTGGCGTTGCCAAAGGCCTCCAGCACACAGTTGGATTTCAGCAGGATGTTCTTCACTCTGCAGCAGGGATGGAGAGATGGAAAAGGGTAAGGCTTCAACACTCACACCACAGGATTTCTTTTTCCACAGCCATTTCTGCAGTGATGCTCTTTGCTGGCAGATTTGGGCAGGTGTGGATGGCACCAGCAATCCCATGGGAAATCAGCTGGGAGCTGGCAGCAATGCTCCTCAGAGGAAGCAAATGCTCTTTGGTTCACAGACCAGACCCCCACCCTGAAACCAGCACCAGAAATTCAGCTTCTATACACATTTCAATTCTAAAAGCAATTTTCTGAACTCTTTTTCAATCATTTTCAAAAGTTCATTTGGGGTAGGTTTAAATCTGTTTCTGCAGAAAGGCACATTCTTTGCCCCAAAGCTTTTACTCCAGGACAGAGAGGGACATTTTGCAATTCAGAATCATGTGAGCCAGGAAGGTCACAGAATACACTCCTTGCACTCCACATGTTTTTCTAGCCCACCCAAATTTCAGGCAATTTGCCCCAGGAAAAGTGATTTAGAATCATTTAGGTTGGCAAAGCTCTCTAAGATCATTGAGTCCTGCCATTAGATGGTTGATATTGGCTGGATGGCATTTCTAGATGCTGTTTTGATTTTAAACTTTCAAAATTAATTTTTTATGTGATTTCAGCAATTAACACTGCAAAATTCCCAGAGTAAAAGCAGTACCTGGAAAAGTTAAGTATAAATCAGCATGTACAAGAGACCATCTGATAACGTGGTGCTCCACAGCCCACAGAAAGAGATCTCCAAGCAGGAGAATTTCCCTTCTTTTCCAGCCCAGGCCTTACCTCTCCACCTCAGCCCTCTGCCCGGGGTTGGTGATGGCTGCTATGTACTGCATTATGTATTTACTGGCCTCAGTTTTCCCAGCCCCGCTTTCACCTGGGGGCAGAAACACCACAAACAGATGAAAAAAAAAGCCAAACAAATCATTGGACAGAAGACCTCAATTCTACCCCAACAGTGCTTGGGTGGTTTGGTTTTTTTTTCTGTTTAAAGCAATCTTTGTGTGCACTTGGGACGTTTTCTAAACACAGCCATAACCCTGCCTGGCTGCTGCTGCTGGGCTGACTTTGAGCAATTGTGCTGTGAGATTCCTCAGGTCGGGAAAAGGGCTGGCACACAGAGGATCAAAGGAATATTGTTAGAGGAGAAAGCCCGGCCTGCAGCAGCACAAGGGGCCACTGTTCTGCACCCCAGGCCGGGGCTCTCTCCTTTCAGAGCTGCCTGAGCACGGGGACATCAAGGAAAAGAAGTGCCAGGATCCAGGCAGGGATCACTCTGGTACCAGCCCTGCTCCCACTGCTGCTTTTCCAGTCAGGACAGAGACAAAAATCAGCAGCTCCTGAGGAGAGACCAGCCCAGC